CAAAGGCGACTTGTCCGCCGTTTGTTCCGAACTGAGGTGTCCCTGTTGTTGGGAGGGGGGGGGCGGCAAGTTGGACAACAGCAACATCTCCTGCTCTCGGATCAAGCACGGAGTACCCGCCAAGTCCAGCAGCGGCATGTGTTATTCCAAGGGGGGTGACGTCAAGGCCGCCACCAACGAAGGAGCCAACCCACGGGATTGGGCCGTTGGCGCCGGGGGCGGACAAGACGTCGAGATCTTTACGACGCCGAAGGCGCGAGAGGATGATCTTTCAGGTGGCGGGGATGTAACGTTGGGCAAGATTCTGTACTTATTTGACCTCAACCTCAACAGGCGTCCGGGCTGTAGCGCACCCGACCCCGCCATGGAATGCGTTCTCGTGTACGAGTACGTGACGCGCGGAGTAGGACGAAGCAAGAAGGAAGATCTGGCAACAAAGCACCCTAGCTACTGGTTGCAAGGGGGGGCAGCTACCACTCCGTCAGTTTTTCCTGTAGAGGCTATCCGGCGCCACGTTCATATGTACCACCTATGCCCAACTTCGAGTTTCGAAGGGGGCCGCATCGACGATACCTCAGAATCGCAATCGTGTGGACTACGCATGGACGACATGGCGAAAGGATCCGGGGCTAAGGTGTGGAAGCACCACTACAATTTAGCGACGGCGCCCCGGGACAGGCGACACGGACATAGGGACGCGTATTTGCTGAACGAACATTAGCGGGGCGCTTTCCAGGATGGCTTTGTCTGATTTTGAGAAAACGTCAAACCTCCAGGACTGGGATATGAGATCGTTGCGGACGTCCACAGGATCGCTCGCTGGTGCATCCCACCACCGGTCATCTCAGTTGCATATATATATAGTAGGTCGGTCGCAATGCGAACAGCGGAGGGGGTGCAAGTCGGTGCACCTGAACAGAGCATATTAGTTTTGTCGAGGTTCGGTATTGTCGTGATAGTGCTCTGACCCGAAGGGCGCGGTCTCTACTTGTGGCTGCAAAGTTCTCTGGTAAATCGAGCCCCACTCATTGGCACCTCATGGAGGCGAGAACGTCAAGAAAGTTGTTAAAATAAACGCCTAGAGAGGAACTAAAATTCTTCTTGCACTTACTTAGAATGCGACTTTTACGTGGCGTTTACTTATGGAGGCTATTGTCTGTGGATTTTTCCCTCTCGAGGGCACCATTTGTTTACCCTCAAGCGTACGTTATCAAGTGGCATTTCCTCTACAGGGGGTCCAAAATCTTTCGAACCTCGAGGGTCCTTGATTTAAAACCTGTGGAGTGATGACTTTTGATCGTTTGTCAAACATCCTCTAGATGGAATCATACATATGTGCACTGGAGGGTTGTTGATGCAATGTCCTCTACGGTACACATTGAAGGCTTGCGTGAGTGCATCCCAGTAGACCTATCATGCCTGGCATTTTCCTCTAGAGGCGTAGAATCTATCACTCTAGAGGGTATTTCTATAACAAAACCCTCTAACTGGCCCCTAAATATTTGTCCCCTGTAGAGGCATACGGTGTACTGCCCTCTAGAGGGTTACTCAAAATCAAAACCCTCTACATGGCTAAAAATACTTTTCCCCTGGAGAGGG